AATTATAGCATTTTAAATTTTAAGGTATATTATTTAATTTAAAAAAATTAGAATTTTCGTCAATTTTGGATTTAAAAAAATTCATAACAATTAAAGGGTTGAAGATACGATGATGGGCGTAAGGACATTTTTTATTCGAAATATCCTAAAGAATATAAAAAAATTAATTCATTGCAAAAAATGTATTTTTTCTGGCTTAATTAATTTTTCGTTGTTTAAACAATAACATCAACAATTATCGAGTGTCATCTTACACTTTTATAATCAGGAAAGCCTTCCGGACATTTTTAAAAAAAAAATACGAATTAAAACAATTTTGCATACGAATGCGCCACTATGCCCTGCACTATAATGATTTCCATCAAATTTAACATGAATTACTTTTTATTTGAATTATAAAGACAAATATTATTGTGTGAATGGTTTATTTTAAACATTTTGGGATAGGGTACGGCCTCCGAGCCGAAATCGAATCCTAAATTATTTTGAAATTTTGGCAAGCCTGGAGCGAGTTGTAGTGTTGCTCTTGGCAAACAAATTTTTACACAAAAAAATTCATTAGAAGAAAGAAACCGAACCTAAACTGAAATTAGAGGCTAATGATAAGATTTTACAGTATTATTCTGCAAATATCATTCACTATTATTAAATTAATTGTAGCTTTGTCCGCCCTAAATTTAAAAGCAAATGAGATGGTTTCTAACAAGCATTAAACAAAACCAAGAGCAAGAAAAGTAAAAGGGCTTTACTAAAAGAAAATACGAGTACATTATTAAAAAAGGGGTTTGTTACAGCAAGATTTTAGTATAAAGTAGTTGTTACAAATCATTTTAAAGAAAAAAGCAAGGACCTTTTGGAGTTCAGAAAAAATTTCTAAAGCATTCACGATAAGATATTACCTCAGAAATACTCTGAAGTATCCCTTGCTGGGGATTTCAACTTTACAAAAGTGCACTACTAAAATAAATCTAAGATATAGTCTTTTGGATGATGACGTTGTGAGAGTGATGGGCATTTCTTAAATTTTGAAGAGTGAATTGAAGATAATAATTTTTCAATGTTCGAATTTTACCAAAAGGAATATAAAGTGGTTGGGCCCCATTACTACATTTTATATTTAAATACTCCAAGTATATGTAACTAATGCTAAAATTGTTTAATATACAGACTTATAAGATAATAAGCTAACGAATAGTGGTGATAAAATTGTTTATTTTATACAGAGTGTTTACTAAATTTTTTCAAATGAAATACCCTGTACATTATTTAAGCAAAAAATTATTTATGAATTTACCTATTCAACGATACCAGTATATTAGCCAATAACATATATACAGGGTGTACCACCAGTGCGTAATTGATCTATAGCTATGTTTTATTATAGGAAATACGAAAAATAATACAAAAGTTGTATAACCATATCTAACAATTATTCTTAAATATACAGGGTGGTCCATAAATGAGAGGCTAACCAAATTTATACATTTTTAAAGCATAACACCCTGCAGGTAGTTATACATATTTTAATAGACTTCAATTATTTGAAATCAATGTAAACCTACGAAAATTATGATAATTTATTTTGGTGACTGCATCGATCTATAATTTCATAACAAAATTGCTTGGCAACCCTGTAATATTTTGAAGAAAAATTCTAGGGTTGAATAGAGTATTGCCAAACCATTCTATAACTCAAATAAAATATAGGGTGTTCTATTTAAAAAATATACATTTTTATTTGCCAGGCAAAAATATTTTTAAAATACGTATTTTTTGAATTCATATAACTTTTATTTGAAACATTTTTGCGTGTCTATAACACGAATTGAAATTATTAAACAATTACGAACTAATAAAACACCCTACCCTGTATAATAAAACTGGGTTGTTGTTTTATTGTTTTTTATTTTAAGTATAGTTATATTAACTAGAAACTGACAAAATATATTTTTTTATTTGCATTATAAATATACATTGTATGTTTCTTCTGAAATCCAACATGCCCTTGTTTTTTTTATAAAATTATTTGTAACTACTATTTACTAAAAATTTCCTGTAGGAAACCCTTTTTCCAATAATGTAGGTTTTTTAGTAAAGCTATTTGACTTTTCTTGCTCTTGGTGTGTTTAATGCTTATAAGAAACCATCTCATCTGCTTTAAAATATAGGGTGGCCAAAACTACAATTAATTTAAAAAATATAAAATAAAAAATAAATAAATAAATAAATAAAATAATACTCTTAAATCTTACCATTAACCTTAAACTTTATTTTATGCTCGGTCCCTTTCATCTAGAGATTTTCAGGCCAAAATTTTAAAATATTTCAGGATATAAACAAAGTGTGATCCCTAACCCTAAATATTTAAAATAAACCATTCACAGAATAATATTTCTCTTTATAATTAAAATAAAGAGTAATTCATTTGAAATTTGATGGAAATCATTACATGATTTTTCCTTACTCTTTTGTAGCTTTTCTTTCAAAAAATCAAACACTGATATTATAAAAACTCACTCCATTCTTACCAAAATTTCAAAATATTTCGGGATATAAATAAAGTGTGATCCGAATTTAAAATAAACCAATCAGACTATAATATTTCTCTTTATAATTCAAATAAAAAGTCATTCATTTGAAATTTGATGGAAATCATTGCATGATTTTTCGATGTCTTTAAAAAAATAAAATTACTCCAACAGAGGTATACTACCAATAAAAACTCCCAGGCCGGATATTTTGGTAAGTAATAGAGATATTTTAATTCTGTAAAAGCCAGTTCATAGAGCTCTAAGAAAGCTTCAGTTTTAGATATAAATTAATTTTAAATCGGTCAATATGTAGATGGCGCTGCGTTCAATATATTTTTTTCGTTGGGAGGATCTTTCTTACAAAACGTATCTTGTAAAAAATGCATTTTTAAGCAGATTTTTGTTCTATAAACAAATTCGATAAATCTAGCCATTTTTGATATACAGAATGGGTCACTCACAACAGCTTCATCCTGTTTTTCAGCTTTAATCGTTGGATTTTAAGAAAATGCTAAAACAGGTAAATTTTTATGCCTAAACTAAAAATATTTTTACAATAAAGACATCTGTCATATGTCAACCCCCCTCCCTTTTTCAACACCTTAATTTTAAATAGGTAATGTGCCATGTATGGCACATCATTGAAAAGCTAATTTAATGGGGAATTCAGAAATATTTTTGTATATTGCGTTACTTAAATTTTATCGCCCTCTAGCGGGATAAAAAACTACTACGTTTTATAGAGTGTGACACTACAATGTGTAGTATATCATTAAAAATGTAATTTTATAGGGAATTTACAAATATGACTGTTAATTGCGATATTTTTAATTGTACCGCCTCTTTAGGGATAAAAAAAACTGTACGTAATATAAAGTGTGACACCTTATTTTGAAAGCAAATTTAATTACTAATTCAATACACTACATAACATTAATATAAATATCCTCCATATTGCACTTGCAATAGTTTGAAAAGTAGTCATGCATTATTTTAAACGTTATTGCCAGCTTTATTTTGTTGCAAGTGCAATATGGAAATATTTATATTATTGATATGTGGTGCATTGAATTAGTAATTAAATTAGCTTTCAAATAAAGTGTCACACTTTATAATACATTACAGGTGTTTTATCCCGATAGAGGGCGCTAAAAATAAAAATATCGCAATAAACAGTCATATTTCTGACTTCCCCATAAAATAACCTTTTCAGTGACGTGCCGTACATGAGACATTCCTTATTTAAAATTAAGGGGTTGGAGAAGTAGAAGGGAAGGGGTTGACACATGACAGATGTCTGTATTATAAAAATGTGTTCCATTGGGAATAAAAATCTACTTGTTTTAGCATTTTCTAAATCCAATGATTAATGCCGAAAAACAGAATGAAACTATTTTGAGTGACCCACTCTGTATATCAAAAATGGCTAGATTTATCGAATTAGTTTATAGAACAAAATCTGCTTAAAAATGTATTTTTTACAAGATGCGTTATATAAGAAAGATCCTCCCATCGAAAAAAATATATTGAGCGCAGCGCCATCTACACATTAACCTATTTAAAATTAATTTATATCTAAAACTGAAGCTTTCTTAGCACTCTATGAACTGGCTTTTACAGAATTAAAATATCTATTACCAAAATATCTGGCCTGGGAGTTTTTATTGGTACACCCTGTATAATCCAAAAATTAAAATATAAACACCACTAAATATTAATAAAATATTAGATTTTTTAAAAAACTAATGTACGAACAGCAGCAGAATATTTTCTGTCAGCTCGATTTTTCATTCAGTGACGTCACACCCTTCCTTAGCAACGGACGAAAGAGGCCACCGTGTTGTCTAAGAACCATAGGTAATGACAGGTTAGAATATGGCAACTTTGTGGTGATCTGACAGGGTCAATGATCTAGATATTAAATATAGATTGTACAAATTAAACATAAGCTTATGCCTTGACGGGTCGTTGGAATGCCTAATATTAGGCATTCCAACGACCTGTCAAAATTCTGACAAGTGGAAACTGACAGTTTAGATATGGCAACCCTGTGGGCCTGTTATAAATGATTATACAGTTATATAGATTGCTCAAAGTGTGTGGCCATATTGCCTCGCAAGTGCTCATTAATCAGAATCGGTTTAGTAAAAATGTGTTTACAAACCAATTGTCAGCCTTTGAATATAGTACAAAAATAATTAACTACATTTTTACTTTAAGGCATAGGCTTATGTTTATTTTGAAAAACATGGATGATCAATCTATATAACTATCTATTTCATTGACCCTCTCAAAACACCAGTCCCGCAGGGTTGCCATAATTTTACCTGTCAAAACCCATTGGTAGCCATTTTATTTGGAATGCCTAATAGCGTAAATGACAGTCTTCTTTTCCTTAATAATTGTAAAGAATGCGAAATAATACTAATTACAAGATTCAAGTCTAAATAAAAAATATATTACACTTACCTATTGAAATGTTGTATTTATAGCAACCAGGGCCTTTTAAAGAATAAATATTGCATTTGAATACGGCTCCTCCAGTTTTGATACTTTGTTTTGGAGATCCTACTATGACCCTAGAACAATCGAATAGATTAATGGTCTTCATGCTATCAAATTCATAATAACAGGCTATAAGCCGCTTAAAGATCCTGTTTGAAGTATCCAATCTTCAGACGTTTACCCCGCAATTGGCACACCACACGAAATCCTTTTCCGAGATCATACATTTTCATAAAAATTTAAGAAATATTACTCAAAATCAATCACAAACAATTTTTTTTTTTTAATTCCTAATTTACATGGCAACCGGTTTCAGCACTAAGGCCATCTTTATGCCTAAAAGGAATAATTAAATAAGTTACAATAAGTTACAAAATTAATCACAAACCTATGAAGACTGATAAAACAAGTATTATACAACTACTGATGTGAACAGCAAAAAATTCTATAAAACTTATTTCAAATTATGAACCAACTAAGTTATTACGGTGCAATTTCTTAGGACTAAAATAGTGGTTTGAGGAAAACAATTAGGTAAAACGGTTAATATTTAAGGAAAGACAAATTGATGTGGTCCCTAATTACAGGCAGGCCTGACGAGAAAGAGGGACAGGGGGGCAAAATCCCCGAGGCCTGGCAGCTTCAGAGAGTACTCACTGCTAGTCGTTTAATAGTAGATAGAAAAAAATTTCAAATTTTTTATGTAGACCTAGATAATAGTTTTTATTAGCCTATTCGTTTAAAGTTCAAGGTGACATTCAAAATTATAATAATGTGAAACAGGAAGTTATTCTGGTCCGCGGATGACTCAAAATAGAGAGAGCCTAGAGACAGCTCACAGCACAGCGCGCGGGCCCCGCCGACCCACCTCTAGCCTATATTATACATAATGTTCTTTATGACAGCTGTTTATTTGTATTGTTCTCGTAGTTTTATAAAGTGAATTTTTTTGTGTTTTAAACTTTCACAAACCTTAAAACGATGTTCAAGGTTTTAGGTATGTTCTTCATTTGAGTGTACTAGTAGAACATGAAGAGTTTGTAGGTAAAAAATAGATTACAATACCTATGTGGGGAATTTGGAAGAATATACGGACGATGAAGATTTCAATGAACTTATTAATATTTATGTTCAGCCAAGGAGAATAAAAATATATAGAGATAGGATTAATGGATCAAACGACTTACCTGAAGGAAGTTCGATCCTAATTATGCGAGCATCCTTGTTAGTGGAAATAAAGATAAACATGTAGTATACCTATGTTACGCCGCTGACTTACATGTTTAGATTTAAAATTTTACGTCACTCTCTATCGCTGCCGCCTACATTACTCATTACCTGTTGTGGAGCCTAGGAGTTTGGGGTTAAAAATAATATAAATATGGTGGAGGTGGGAAATTATTTTTCACTAACAAGGATGCTCGCATAATTAGGATCGAACTTCCTTCAGGTAAGTCGTTTGATCCATTAATTATGCTTCACATGCTTATTAGTGGAAATAAAGATAACCATGTAGTTGTTTAGAGGATGTTCTATCCAAATTAAAACTAGATTTTTGCTTTCTACGTAAATGTATACAATAGAATATGCAAAAAAAATATTACTATAAATTTCCTACAAAATTAACAATAATAATTAATAATAATACTAATGAATTAATCATTAACCAACGTAACAAAAAATAATATTGAATTTTAACAATCCAGTTTTATAATTTTTTTAATACTTTGCGAACGTTGGTTTTACGTCTTAATTAAAAAACTTGTTAAACACTACTGATTTCTTTGTCCTACAATTTTTCTAATGGTTTCGATATTGACGCAGATTATGAGGACAGTCGAGGTACATACGTATGTGTACTAAGTGCTTAAGCTACCCACCCAATAGTTTTGGGTGCGTAGCGTTAGTGGTTATAATAAAAGGTCCTAAAGACCTGTGAGACTTGTTTTTTTTTTCTTCCCCATAAAATAAAAATTGTTTTTGCTATGCATATATTGAGGTAATTCTTGAGGGAATGAAAATACTAATAAAGGCTGGGCTCGTTGTGGAGTCGAAGTTTTAGCATTTCGTCAATGAAATTTTTTATAATGTTAGCTTCCACCTTGACATTTTCAACTTTAATTTTTGAGAAGGTCTATACCCGTTGGGCTGCAAGCATAACAAGTTTGGCTCTTAGCTGTTTTACGTTTTTCAAGTAAAATAAACTACTGAAATATTTTAAAACTGTGTTTTGATCTCGTTTGAATACTTTTTGGCAAAATAGGATGGCCCTTTTAGAAATTTCCTAATATAATAACATGGTACAATCACTATGCCTTCTGCTTAGCCTTTCTAATTTTAGTACTTATACAAGAAATGCATCAGCTACGTAACAATCGAGTTCTGGCACACTTTAGATAAAACACACTTTTTTTGATTTATGTTGAGTCATAGAGATTGTAAAGAATCGTTGTTTTACAATGTTTGAGACATTCATTAGTAGATTTAGATGTAATTAGGAAATCATTAAGGTTATTTCCAAAAGCCTTATTTGATGCACTACCGGTTTTAAAGTGTTTGCAAAAACATATGGAGCAAATGGTCAAACCAAATGTAAGACACTCAAATTCGTAAGTTATTTTCTTTTTTTTTTTCAAATACTTTTCTTATTTTTTATGTTTTGAGATGAGATAAGAGGCATCCTTTAATTTAATTTTTGACAAAATTGTCCTGTAACAAAATATTCTGGACAGACCTGAGATCTTCCAGTTTGAAATGTGAGAATCTATATATTTGTTAAAGATGAATCTAGATGAATCATTTCATTTGGGTCTTAAAAAATATGAGAACCAAACTAATTTTCTTTAGCAAGCAAACACCTGTTGCATTCTTTAGTACTTTTTTTTTAATGAAGAGTGTAGATTAGTTTTTTCTAAAATTTATTCAGTTTACCAGCAATCTCACTTACCTTTATTTCCTTCCCTAATAACTCCTTCTCCCCTCTCTTTTTTTCTGAATACTTTTTGGTTCGTCCTCTGGGTTTTTTTTTTTTTTAATTTCCCCTGCTCTTTCTCTGGCCTGGTTTTCTTCAGTCGCTATTTAAAAGTAGGCTCCTGAAGTTTAAAGACTGATTGAAATTATTGTTTGCTTTTAGTTGGTGCCTTTAAATTAAATGTATGCTAGTTTTTTAAATGCTTTGTCTGACTTCCATATCTCTACAAGATTCTTTCCAAAATGAAAAACCATCGATGTCTGCTTTTTCTATCATATTTTTCACATTTGTGTTTAGAGACGGATATATATAAGGTGCCTACGATGCATATATTCTATGGTAGATGTCTGATAATACTTTTTTTACATTTGCATTTGTTTTGATGCGTCTATTTCTGTTCCCTCCAAGCTTAGCTTACAGAGGTTCAGCTAAACTTCCCATCACCTTTCAAGTTGGTCTTGCAGCATATATAAATATCTGTCGGTTTTATTTGATGACATGACTAGTCACTAAACTTTTTGGTTTAGAGTTTAAGGTGGGGGACCCAAGTGAAAGTATTCCAGATTTTGATTTCGCAAAGAAACTTTGATATTTTGCCATTCTCCAAACCGTCTTGCAAATATTTTCCCAACATTTTTCCAGAATATCCTAATACTGAAGTTGATCCTTACTATTCGAGCGTCTGTTCTGGTGAAGATGACTAGTTTAATGTATACGGGTGGCCACTTTTTTAATGGGATTGTATTAGTAATTTCCAAACCATACTAGTTAGAAAGTCGGTTAAATGGAGAAAAAGTTGCGTATCTCGAAGCATAATCTAGCAGTGGAAATTAATGGAAAATGTCAGGCCTGGTTCTTGAGATATTTCGATAAAAGTAAATTCAATCTTTTCAGTTTTTTGGTTATCGTTCATTTATTTTCAGAACTACTAAAAAATATTTTAAAGCTTTTTTATTTGATAGTAAATTTTCTTTGATTTGACGTTTTCATATTTTGTATCCAACGTTTCGTATTCTCCAGACCACCCTCAACTTATTTTTTTTAAATATGGACCTGGATATTTTATAACAGTATTTGAAATAACTTTTCATCCTGCATCCAGCAGTTTATTACACAATGGCATTCAATGACGGTTTTTGGGTAATATGGACCGTATTCCAAATTTTATTAAATTTACGCTTGGTTTCAGCCATCTTTAGTTGAATCAACATAATTTCATGCCTCTCGATAAAAAACTAAAGCCAATGTATATAATTCTCCGAAAATTAAACAATTCATCAACAACAATAATAGTAATGTAGAAATTTTAAAACGCAATTACTGATAATAACAAAAAAAGTCAGTTTTTGTAAGTCATAATCAAATTATTTTAAAATATCAATAAAATTAATTGAGTAATTGTTCAAAATGTCCGCCATTTTCTTCAATGCACTTGGCGATTCTGATATTCAAATTTCTTATGCTATTGCTTATTTCTTCTTCTTGGATATCTTCCAATGCGTCTTTAATCTTTTCGCGGAGAACCTCAATTGTTGCATTCGGTGTATTATACACTTTATTTTTGAGACGTTCCCACAAATAGAAATCTAATGGATTCAGATCTGGAGATCTGGCAGGCCACGCCATTGGACCTCTTGTTCCGATCAATGAATTGGGAAAATGATTTTCCGTGGCATAAAAATGTTTATTTCTTCGATTGAACATACCAGAATTTGTAAATGTTGTTTTGTCTCCCCAAATGATATTGTGTGCAAGGTTGTTATTAATTCTTACCTTCTGTTTTAACCAATTACAAAATCTAAATCTTCTTTCAGGATCATTACGATATAGTTTTTGTACCGCTTGGTATTTGTAATCATGGTATCCGTGTCTCTTGACTATCTTATTAACAGCACTTTTTGATAAATTACATTCACCTGCAATAGTCCTCGGCCCAACTCCTGGATTTATTCGAATTTGAGCTAAGACATTAACATCGTTGACTAGCTCCTTTCTCGTTTTTTTTCTGCAGTGTATCTTACCATATTGAAGTTAGACTAGGTGCCAAGAAACACACAAAAAACTTTTAAACAATGGGAAATTTTCGTAACGCAATAAAGAACA